CGAATTTGTGGGATGCAATGAAAGCCTTCCTCAGAGGAAAATTAGTGCACCGAGTTCCCACATCAGGAAATCAGAATGAATACAAATAAATAACTTGATGCTAGACCTCAAACACCTAGAAAAATAAGAGCAAGTCAAGCCCAAAGCCAAAACAAGAGAGGAAACTATAAAAATCAGAGCAGAAATCAATGCAATAGAGACTAACAAAAAAATCCAAAGAATCAATGAATCAAAGAGTTGTTTCTTTGAAAGAATAAATAAAATCGATAAGCCCCTTGCCAACCTTATTTTTAAAAAGGGAAGAAAAGCTCAAATTCATGCAATAAGAAATGAAAAAGCTGAAATCACTACAGACCTAAAAGAAATACTGAAGATCATCAACACCTATTTCGAAAACCTCTACTCTCAAAAGTTTGATAACACAGAAGAAATAAACAGATTCTTAGAAACATGTGAAGTACCAAAGGTAGATCAAGAGGATGTAAAACTGTTGAACAACCCAATCTCTATTAATGAAATTGAAACTGTAATTAAGTCCTTACCTACAAAGAAGAGCCCAGGCCCAGATGGATTCACTGCAGAATTCTACAAGAAATATAAAGAAGACCTAATGCCGACACTCCTCAAACTATTCAATGAAATTGAAAGGGAAGCAATCCTTCCTAAGTCATTCCTGGAAGCAAATATTACTCTCGTACCATAACCTGAGAAAGACCCCACTAAAAAAGAGAACTATAGACCGATCTCCCTAATGAACACAGAAAATCCTCAATAAAATATTGGCAAATAGGATCCAGCAAATCATCAGCAAATTATACACCATGACCAAGTGGGATTCATCCCAGGAATGCAAGGATGGTTCAACATATGCAAATCAATAAATGTAATCCACCATATCAATAAAGCCAAAAATAAGAATCACATGATCATTTCTATAGATGCAGAAAAAGCCTTCAATAAGGTCCAACATTTATTCATGATAAGAACTTTACAGAAAATTTTAATAAATGGTCTTTACCTCAATATAATAAAGGCCTTTTATGAGAAACCAACAGCCAGCATCATACTAAATGGTCAAAAATTGAAAGCCTTTACTTTAAAATCAGGCACAAGACAAGGATGTCCTTTACCACCACTCCTATATAATATAGTACTTGAAGTACTAGCCAGAGCAATTAGGCAAGAGAGAGAAATAAAAGGGGTAAAGATAGGAAAAGAAAAAGTTAAATTATCATTGGTTGCAGATGACATGATACTCTACTTAGAAGACCTCCTAAATTCCATTGAAATATTCTTAGATACAATAAATAAATTCAGTAATGTGGCTGGGTACAAAATCAATACTCAGAAATCAATAGCATTCCTGTACACGAACAACAAAATCACAGAGAGGGAAATTAGAGAAACTACACTCTTCATATTAGCAAGCAAAAAAATGAAATATTTAGGAATTACTCTTACAAAAGAAGTGAAAGACTTATACAGGGGAAATTATAATACACTTAAAAAACAAATTGAAGATAATCTCAGAAAATGGAAAGACATCCCTTGCTCATGGATAGGAAGAACAAACATTGTGAAAATGGCCATTCTCCCAAAACTGTTATTCAGACTCAAAGAAATCCCAATAAAAATACCATCAACATACCTTTTAGATCTAGAGAAATCACTCCTAAATTTCATCTGGAACCAGAAGACACCTAGAATAGGAAAGGCAATGCTAAGCAGCAAAGACAAAACAGGAGGCATCACAATCCCTGACTTGAAGTTATACTACAAAGCAACAGTAGTAAAATCAACATGGCATTGGAATCAAAACAGAGGTGAAGATCAATGGAATAGCTTAGAAGATACAACCACAACTACAAACACACTCAACCACCTTATCTTTGATAAAGGAGCCAAGCAGGTTCACTGGAAGAACGACAGTCTCTTTAATAAATTGTGCTGGAAAAACTGGCTCTCCATTTGCCAAAAACTAAAGCTAGACCCATGTCTATCACCATGTACTAAATTAAAATCTAAATGGGTCAAATATATGAATATTAAAATAGAAACACTAAATCTATTGGAAGACAAATTGGGTAGAAACCTTGAAGAAATAGGAGTAGGTAGAGCATTCATGAACAGGACTCAAACCACACGGCAAATACTTCCCAGAATCAATAACTGGGACCATTTCTTATTAAAATGTTTCTGCATGTCAAAAGAAATCTCTAGCATAGTGAAAAGAAAACCCACAAACTGGGAAAAGATTTTAGTGAACTCTCTCTCAGACAAGGAACTCTTGTCTAAAACATATAAAGAATTTATAAAACTCAGATCCACAAATTCAAAGATCCAATCCAAAAATGGGCATCTGAGATGAATACGCACTTCCAGATGAAGAAATGCAAATGGCAAATAAATACATGAAAAAATGTTCATCATCATTGGTTATTAGAGAAATGCAAATTAAAACCACACTGAGATACCATCTCACTCCTGAAAGAATGGCCAGGATCAAGAACACCAACAGCAACAAATACTGGAGAGGCTGTGGGGAAAAAGGAACTCTGCTACACTGTCGGTGAGAGTGTAGACTGGTGCAGCCTTTGTGGAGGTCAGTCTGGAGATTTCTCAAAAAGCTGGGATTGGAAGTGCCATTTAGTCTAGCTATGCCACTTCTAGGCATATTCCCAGAAGAACTGAAAGCATCATACCACAGTGGTATATGTGCACCTATGTTTATAGCAGCACAATTTGTAATCATCAGATCTTCGAAACAACCCTAGTGTCCATCAACTGAGGAATGGATAAAAAAAGTTGTGGTATTTCTATACAAAGGAGTGTTATTCAGATATAAAGAAGGACCACATTCAAATATTTATCAATAAATGGGCGCATCTTGAGACCATACTCGTAAGTGAAATAAATCAATCTCGCATGTATGAATACCGAATAGTTTCCCTAATGTAAGTAATGATTCAAATATATAAAAATATACAGTAATCAGGATTCCTCATTATGTGGCCTTGAAGCCTATAAAGTTTTCACTTATTAATTGGAAAGGCTTTATTCTGGGCTTCTTGATATTGAAATATTTGAAGCTACACTATATGAAGTTTTATTCAAATATTTCATGGTAAAAGACAGACACTATTGTAACTACTATTAAGTTGGGTTATTTGGTGGTGAAGCACTAGGTTGCTTAAACAGTCATGCTTTGACCTGTCTTGTTATATTGTTATGTCCTGTTTTATCTCAATCTCTCCCTTATTCATTAAAAAAATTATTTAGTTATTTTTTATGTTGTTTTTAATTAAGGGGAAAAATTTTTAAAAATTAGCAGGATATATAATAGTAACTTTTTTGATTTCCTATTAACTTGTTTTGAAGTCCTGTAATACTCCCACAATCTTGTTTTGACTGATTAGCCTCTGTTCCATTCTGTATGATAGTATCAAGTTTGAGAGTATAGGCAACTACTTTGAAGGCAATAAGATTCACTAAGATGCCCATTCTGGGTTGACTATTGTCTCCTTTGGAAGTCCTGTAATATTTAAAATGCTTAAGTTTTATTGGTTGTTCTCTACTGTTTTGTTCAACTTTATAATTTCTAATGAGATAGACAATTCTTTTTAAGGAAACAAGAGACATTGTTGATAACCATTGTTGATAACCTTGTACTCTGTTTTACATCATGTGCTATGTCTCTCCTTGGTTTTGACTGACAGCTTTGTTTTGCCACATTTGACTTTATTCTTTCCCCCCAAAAAAGTAATAAGAACTAAGGAATAATAAAACTGAAAATGTGTAAATTTTGCTGTAAAATAGAGAGGGGAAAAAGTGCTCTGAAGGATACAACAGCAAGTGTGTTTAGGGGTGTTAATTAGCTGACCATGTTAATGTGTTTGGTTGGATCACTGAACACAACTGTTTGCAGTCTCACTGTTTGAATGTCCACTTTGTATGCTTTGATACTGTGATTTGAGCAACTATCTCTAAGATGATAATATATAATCTATTAACTGGTGATTTCTTACTGGTTTTTTTTTGTAGTTCTGTATTCCTTGTACCCTTATACCGCTTTGTTTTGTTTTGTTTTTTCTCTTTTTCCTTTTAAATAAAATAAAAAATAGAAACTCAGTGCTAATTCAGTAGCATTATGATGTAAAATCTAGCAATACTGTTTTTCACTGTTCAAAGTGATATTAGTCTAGTCTGTTATGTTCAATTTTTGCATATGTAAAATAAGGACAGCTACAATGGAGTGAATGAGAGACTATATGGTAGTCATTATGGACTTCCCCAATTTCAGGCCTTGAAGACCTAAAAAGCCTTCATCATCCTATAATGATTTGATGAGTCCTATAGTGTTTGATATGTATTCAATGTGTGTGAAGATGGGGACAACTATTTGGAAGAAAACTAGAGACAATAAGATAGACAATGAAATCTCCAGTGGACTTGCTTTGAAATCCATTTTTCTTAAAATTGTTTTCTTATGATCTGTTTTGTTCTGTTCAATCTTACCCTCTTTAAAAACAAAAAAGAAATTGAGTTTGATTCCATGAAAAAAGAGCCACTGCATTTTGACAGTAATGAAGCTGATAAGGTCACCAGACCTTGGTTTTCAGAATGTGATTCTGTCACCAGTTTTGAGGTGGTTTGAACAAGGAAGCTATTGGAGGAAGGAAGCCTAGACACAGGTTGATGACAGTGTCTATCCAGGCTAAAATGAGGACACTTTAGTGAGCACAGTGAGCCTGGGAGAGGTCAATGTTTGTTACTCTTGCTCATCACTCAATAGTCATGATCTGCAAGAGTGAGGAATCTGGTCGTAGTGCAGGAGGGTTCCTGACCAAGGGTCTGCTTTTGTGATGTGGATCCTCAGGACACGTTTGTCATCAGGATATTACATATGGAATGGATTAATACCAACCCCAAACGCCAGTCCTCTGAAAACCCGCCCAATGAAAGACCCAAGTTGTATGACAATAAAAACACAAGTCGAGATGTGCAAGGAAAGAAATTTAATGAAGCAAGACGTTGAAACCTTTACATTATTCAGTGATGACAGGGAATCCTTGGAAGATTGAGGACATCAGGTGAGAATGTTTTTATTATGTCTGTCAACAATCCTTTTCAACTTTTACCTGACATTGAAAAAAGAGGGAGAAAGAAGTAAAGGTGAGGTGAGTTATTTAGGTTCTGTAAAGGCAGGTCAATTCAACTAAGAGGCTAATAAAGTCTGCCAAAGAAACTAAAAAATAGAGTGGGAAATTCAGTATGTGACCTGGGGCAATTACATCAAGCCATGCATATTACAAAATATCTTAGTCTAAGCCAGGCAACTCCACAGTCATGAGACTAAAGTGTATGTGTCAGGTCTCAGTGGAAGGATTAGGGAACAAGAAGTCAAAGTAACCCAGTTGTGTCTTCTGAATCCTCAGGACTATGGAGATCTCTCAGTTATGCAAAGGTGGCTGGGAGATGAGACTCAGGGCAGGGCTGGGTGGGTCCATAGACAGGACATTCTAATGTGCCTATCAGTCTGCAGAAAAATGCACTGCAGACTGTGAGCTCTGATGGAGGATGGCTCCAGCTCTTTCATTACAATCTGCACACTGCTCACACTCCCAATCCTCCCCAGGACATTACAATGATGGTGACCTTTTTGATGAGTGAAGCTCACCTGCATGAAAGTGACCAGGAACAGAGGAAGTAGGCTTGGTCCTGAAACAGCCCTGCCTAAAACTTATTTATTCTGAGATCACCACAGTAAATACATCATCCAGCGATGGGCCCTGAGATGATGGGACCTGCCCAGGGTGCTATGTGCGTCTGAGTGTATCTCAGCAGATGTGCTATTTGCATCCTTCCTCTGTCCTTGGTTCTTTCTATGAAGAGCATACCAGCAAGATAGGTACCAATGGCACCTGTGTCCCCATGTAAAAGAGGGCCAGACTTATTTGTGTCTGTCTGTCTGTGCAGAAGTCTTATGTATAAAGAGAAAGGAATTACCAGCACTTTCAGTATGATTCCTCTGTATTTTGAGTCAATCTTATTTACGCACTGCTTCACTTCCATCATTGAAGCCACAACTTCTTCAGGTGCTTGGTATTTTTTAATACTCAATTCAAAAGCAAAGTCAGACCATGTCAGGAAAGCTACAATGTCCTTCGTAAGACTTAAACATGGAATAGCATTGGCTGAAACAAAGGTAAACAATTAACATTATTTTAATGGAAGTAAATTTTCCCAGTGGTATCTGGAAGTCAGACAGCACAGAGCAACTTGCACTTTACACTCTAACCCACAATTTTCCAAAACAAACCATGATGCCCTGCATCATGGTTACAATTAACTATGCATCACACATCAGGAAGAGAGCTATGATTGCATGGTTTCAGTTCATTCATTTAGTATTTCAGTCTTTTAAGACCACACACACTATTTTTGCAGTTTCTTTGGTTTGCAGAAAATACTGGTTGACATTTAATACTTACCCGTTTCTGCTAGGTATTTGCACCTCACCAGTGTTGAACATTGCAGAAGAGCAGGTTTTTGTCATTGCTGAAGTACATGGTAGAGTGACAATGTCTTTTTGGAAACAGGGTCTTGCTGTGTATCCCAAGCTGTGTATCCCTTCAGACACATTCTGTTGCCTCAGGTGACCCAAAACTTGCAATGATTCCCCAGGCACTGGCTCTCATGTACTGGGATTCTAGGTGTGTGCCATAAACCAAAGATAGAGGCACAACCTTGGCAAGATCAGAATAGTGAGAGAAAACCTGGGGAAGTGCAGATGAAACCACTAAGATGTGCAGAGGTGCTATTTTGAGGTTAGGCTGAAGAAATGATAGTGTGCCATTAGATAAGCTCTTGGCTAAAAAGCAGCAATTATGAGAAGCAGTTTTATTTAACATCAGAAAGTGACACAAAAGTTACGATGCCTCTAATGTGCAATGAAGTCCACATCCCTATTGACCCATTCCTGACCCCACTTGGATCACAAAAAAAATAAGAAAACATTTGGTCAGTACTGCACATAAAACAAAGACATCTCGAAGGACACTATACAGAGGAGGCGCCTGCCAGGTTCCAATGCAATCCCATGGCAGATGCCACACCACAGGAAGAATTTGGAGAGAGTAGGGTCAGGGGCAAAACAGAAAGAGAACACTTTCATTAAGTGAGCAGAAAGACTAAGAGAGGGTAGTGGAGTTCCAGAAACAAAAAGACAGGCACGTCTTCCTGGAGACCAGAGTAAATTGTGTGAATCAGGAGTCACAGCTGAGTGGTGGAGCTGGATCACCATGCAGCCTAGTAGACACTCAGAGAAGCAGCAGTGCTCCTCTCATCAACAACTGGAGCAAGCAGTGCCTATTCCCTGACCTCATTTTCAGTCTTACTGTGCAGAGACTCAGACTCAGGCTGCACCTTCCTGGATATGGAGCTCTGCAAACATCCTTCCACCAGTGACACTGTGAATTTCAATTTAGTGTTAAGAAGCTGTGGGATTGAGTGGTGTCTCACCGTGTCTGTGAAGAAACTAACTGATAAGTACAGAAGACAGTTTCATGTCTACAGGTGCACACTTTTATATATTTTTTCACTGAATGGATGTTGTTATACACATAACCCCTGAGAAAACACACTCCAAGGGTATGAGCACTTGATCCAAGGCCACAACCCTGAAGGGAACAGAGCCCAGAGTCACAGCTGGGCCACTTCTTACCTTCTGATGCATCCACAGATGAGATGGCAGTAAAGGAGTGTCTATCTGAGCTGAATTCCTACATTTGCCCACAATTCTCCATAAAATTTTGTAGGTGTTGAGAAGGTCATAAAATGAACCCTGAGGTCTTAAGGAGCTGACTCACCAGCACTAGAAAAGTCTGGGTTGTCAACTGTTTGGGACCTCACCCTCCTGCAATTTCTGTCCCTTGTGCTCAGACATAGGCACATGCCTCAGCTGCTGCTGGACTGGCCACCAGCGATACTCACCCTCATAGGGACAAAGAGCCAGAGCCACAAGCAGGAGAGGCAGGCACAGCTTCATGCTGCTTGTTTTGCTTTGAGCTAGCAGCTTTCCAAAGGTGAGAAATCCACACTCTCCACCAGAGCCTTTGGGGAAGGAAAAATGTGGAGCTATTTATTTCAGATCAACCTCTCTCTTATGACACACAGGAGGCATACGTGGCAGATCAGCAGAGCTGGAAGGCAGCCCTTCTTCCTCAGCCAAGGCTGATGACACGCCTTAGGGTCCTCCCTCTATCCAGATTTAGGAAGAGACCAGAAGGGCAACCCAGGGGAAATTTGTCTGTCCCCTAGGTCTCCATTCAGGTTCCTGTAGAAATGGTTCCTAGAGCCTCAGCTTTCCTGAGTATTTCTGTTTTCTGTCTCAGATCAGAGGGGCATCAGGCGACAGTGGTTGTTTGTAAGCACACAAGTACGTACGAAGACCCCACTTTCATACTAAGGACAGCCATGCAAGTCTGTTTCAACTTCACACTGCTCATCTAAACAGATCCTTCCACCCTCTCTGCCCTTGGTTCTTCTGCCTCACCACATAAGTAGCATTCAGCTCTCCTGAATACTTTCCTCCTTTGCAGAAGTTTTGTGTATAAAAGCCCATTTTTTTTCTTCCCTCCCTACTTCATAACATGAGTCCTAGGATGGGGTGCACTTTTCAGTGGAATCAAAATTTACCTTTTCTGTGCACTAAGAGAGCATCCAGTGAGGAGGAGGCAACTATTTCCAGCACAGGGCTGATAGGATGATTCTGTGGCTTCTGTCTTTTTCCCTATGAAACTCAAGAGAGTCAGAAGAAATAGAACATTGGTAGTGTTGATGGCTCACCCAGCATGGGTCCTGATGAGAAGATCATGAGAACGAGGGAACAGGAGAAGAGGGCAGCCACTCACTGCCTTCTGCTTGAGTTTAAGTCCCCCAGCTCAACCTCAGCATGGTGTCCTTTCAGTGAAAGGCTGGGCCAGGTCCTGTCACAGCCATGCACCCCTCTGTTGCCCACTGTGGACCATCTTGCTCCCCATGAACAGGAGGAGTTTTCCAGCATCCAAGTGTCCTGCTTAAATGAGAAGATAATAGAAAGCAGTCAGCAGAGGGGTCAGTCACAGAAGTACAATCCAGTCTAGCCCATGCCTTGACGTGGAGTGAGGTTCTTGAGTGAAAGCATGACTATTTGTGTTCAGATCCACCATTATGGGTTTTTGTATCTGAGAAAAATAATGCAATTTATATAACTCAGTTTTCATATTGGTAACAGGGGCTTAACAACAATACACATAATAGGATTGAGGGGAAGATTAAAAGAGTGTATGTGCTTAAAATTTAACTCCATTTGACTCATACCAGTCTTGAATAAAGATAACAAGCAGTTTTTTGCAATCATTTTCAAGTATGCCATAGGTTGTCAACATTTCCTACTTTACCGTTTGGTCAAGTTCAACAAAACTTGATGTTAACAACTATATAGAAAGTGCTTCCTGTGAACCAGTCTCTTCTGGAACTCAGACTGGAAAAATAGAAGAGCCACCACCATCGCCACATGCCCCAAAAGCAATCATCTGATGCAGAGAAACACAGGCTGTTTTGATAGCAATTGAGATGAAATGCAATTGGATGCTTGTGATGTTTGATGTTTCATATAATTTGGGTATATCCAAAGGATAACGATACACAGTGTGGCATCTATGGATCTCCTTCTAAAGGGGTAGTCATTGTTAGTTCCCTATTACCTTATTTTGAAGTCCTTTCATTTCTTTTTGGGTTGGGTTTTATTCTGTTTTGTTTTGTTTGCTTTTGTTATATGTGATGGCATGGGTAGGTACTTCAAAGTAAGCAAATGATTATTTTAGCCATTTTGGATTTACTATTGTCTTGTTTTAAAGTCCTTTATTGCATTCATTATTTTGTTTTTATTGGTTCTGTTCTATTCTTTTCTGTTTTGTTTGACCTTTACTGTGTCTGAAGGTAGCTGCGGCTAGTTTGAAGACAAAAAGAGGTGTTGTAGTAACCATTGTTGATTTTGTATTGTTTTGAAGTCCTGTGTGATTTACACTGGTTTGTTTTCATTGGGTTTGTTCTGTTGTATTTTCTTCTCTTTAAAATAAAAAAGTGAACTAAAAACAGCTACACAGAATGGTGTATATATCCCACTTGTGTTATGAATGGCGAGGAACCAGCTCATTGTGTCTGAAGCTCCACAATGGTCTTAGTTAAGGAGGGCATAGCTTGTCTACAGTGATGGAGAATCCCATGGTCTCTCACCAAGCTGTGTCATCAGCAATACAACAAACAGAAGCCTACCACAAGCTCTGTTTGAGTAACTTTTAACTCTCCTAGTTCTCGACATCTGTTTATGATGTTTCTTTTATTTTAAGGATGGCAATTTTTATGGCACTCCTGCTTTTTGCAGAGTTGGCTTCCAATGTTCTCCTCTGAGGGAATTGGTGCCGAATGACATTCACTTTGCTCCTGCTTCCCATCTCAGGTTATGCTGCACTGTGCCGCTTGTCTAAGCACCAGTACCAGAGGCTGTACTTTACTATTTAGGATCAGTGACCAGTGATCATTGATCAGCGATCAGAGACCATCTGCCCCGTGACTGTGGCTGCACAGAAGCTGAGTCCCGATCAGCCTGTTTTTCCTTAATTGATGGCTGGTCTTAGTGTGGGCTCACAGTCAGTGTGAAATGAGGCCATCTCTTCAAGTTAGGCTTCCCTTTGAGCAGTTGAAGGAGAAATGCTTGTGTCATTGTAATGATATTGAAAGAAACTCAGGTTGTCCTCTCTATTTGGTGAGCTCTTCAGGAAAAAAACGACTGTCCCACCACCATTACACTGTCATTTGCTGTTCCAAATAAACTTAATACACCAACAACATGATTTTCATTCAAGCTGGACACTTGAATTGTCAAGATGTCCTGTGTTTAGTTGGATCTCTCAGTGAAGAGGATTGGGCCTGAGGTATTCGAGTGCTAGCAGTGAAGGAGTCCCACAAGGTCATCCGAGCTGTCCATGCCCTCCTCTGTGCAGATGCACAGGGGAGACAGGCAGTACTGAGAAATGGGAGTTGGGGGGCTGGGCATTTAACTCAGTGGCATAAGCACCTGCCAAGCAGGCAGTCGTGAGTTTGATCCCTGGTACCAATAAAAACCGAAAAATACAAAAGAGAGAGAGAGAGAAATGGGAGTTGGATCCAGTGACCAGAGGCACCGGAAGCACAGGCAGAGCCACTCGAGCATCTGTAGAATTCGCCGTACTAAACAGAGAGTTCGAGGGGTCTGGGAGAACAGAATTAAGGAATGCAGGAGGCTGAAGGCTGCTTATGTGTGGGCCACACCTGATGGCTAAGTTGACCAGGAACAAACAGGTGTATGGGGTTAGTGGAAAGAATTCATCATAGGAGTGCAAGATGAGCCAAATGAAGTGTAGTTTCCATCTGGCCTGGTTAACCACGGTGGCCAAATGGGTGAGTGAGGTTTGACACCTCCAGAGTTTCTGTCTTTGTTTCCTTTCTGAGCTTCAGATCTAATTCAGAAGGACTTTTAAACCTAATGTGTTGCAGTTTTATAAACAAGAAATCAAAAGTTGCACATTACACTGCCTACGGAGATCAAAAAAAATCTATGCCATGTTAGCAGGAATGCGAACTATGGCATCATCTAAGAAAGAGAGTAGAGATGTTTCCTGACAAATAATAGCAGATGCTAACAGTGTGATGCCCAAGAGTGGTCCTAGCTGCTGAGGAGGCTGAGGTATGAGAACTGCAAATGCAAGGGCAGTTTGAAGAGATCAGGATCATCCTGAGACAAAAGCTCTTTGAAGGCAGAGCAATTAGTGGTAGAGGTACCAGGTGGGGGATTCAATCCATCCATCCATCCATAAACTCTTACGCCCCTTATTTTATCATTGTTAAAGTGAAAAACAGAGAGTAATAAACATGTTTAAGGTTGAACAATTGTGAAGACAGCAGTTCCAGCTCTATCTCTGCGTACATGTAATTTGTTGACAAAGCAGTGTATTCAGCCATGCAATGGGTTGGTTAGATTTCTGTGGTGTGACAATTTTACAGGACAAAAAAGCCATTTTTGACTCATGGACTAACAGTTCTGTGATTGTATTGCTTTAAGGCCCCTGTCAAGGTAGAATCATGTGCCTTGGATCCTTTTCATGGAAGCGTGTGGCATCCATGAAATTTGTACAGATGTGTAGAGAACCAAAACAAAGAGAATTACCCAAGTGATTCTGAAGCAAATTGGAAAATTGAAAGATGTGGCTTCTATCATACTACTTTGACTAACTATAATACGAATCAAAGCATTTTCACCACAGCCCTAAGAAAGCACGGGTGCATTTGCTCTCAGTGTACAGTGCCAGAGGAAATCTCTGAGTCTCCCTGTGTTCACTGACTGAGAAGCAGCTGGAGCCTCACTTCCGGGATTCAGGCTCAACTCTGCCATTGTCCACCATGCAGCATTCTGCAGGCTTCACCTCACAAGGCTCTTGGGCTCATGTGTAAACTACAGGTGACAAAATTATTGCTGCTTCATAAGATCTGTGAACAAAATTATCGGATTAATATAAGAAAAGTACTGGCAGTGTCCAGCAGTAAATGTCAAGTATATGAAGTTAGGAAATGTTGGAGGCATTGACATAAAATAAACCACCCTGAACCCAAAGTAAACTATGAAAAGGGCTTCAACTGATTCTGTCAATAAGGAACATTTATTTATGATAAATAGTAGCCAAATGTGCTACAGAATCTGAGTCCATTTGCACAGAACCTTCTGACCCCAACGAGAAAATATTTTCTTATCAAGGTGGCGTATTGCTTATGGTCAGGTACAAGAACCTGTCACTGTCATTATAATATCATTAATAATGACATGTAAAACTAAAGGTATAGGAGGGAGTTTGTGAAGTAGATAGTGTTTCTCCCAAGGCACACATCTGTCAGCTGCCCTAGTCTGCAGGACATGTGGAGGCATGGGAGATTGTCTACTGACCTGGTAATTAAGTAGGTTGGAGGTTGGAAGCTTTTGAAAGTCACTGGAAGGTCATGATGACCACAGAGGTTTTCACCACATTTGTGTGATATGTTCACAAGGTAGTCTTGCTTTTTTAAACTTTTCCAATTTGACGAAAAGAAGACATACCATCTTTAATCTCTATGTTAATACAAAGCATTGATTCTGAGCATAGGCATCTCTAGACCTCAAAGAAACAAATTAAAGCAGCTTATTGCTATGAAATGTTTTCTTCTGCCACAGGTGTAAGATTTCCTGTTTTTTAATAAATTTGTTGTGTTTGTCAACAACTGGTACATAACTGTCCTTTTAGACTATGACCCAGGGATTTAAGAGAATCAAGCCTTTTACATTTCCTATAAATTCATTCTTTCCTCATCTCTCCATTCTTTGGATAAGGACATGTGATAAAAATGTACAGTAAATGCTGAAGTTTTTAAAAGATGATAATAAATGTAAACATTGCCCTTAATCTTTCCTCAGATGTTACTCTGAATTTCCAGAGAGAACTGTATTCTATGATGTCTCCTTCAGGAAATGAATCAAGGAATGCCCAGAAAAGCTAGGGTTCTTATTGAATTTTGAAAATACCAACTGCCCATCTGTTTCAATGTAATATTTCTTATGCTGACAGCTAGTTCTAGTTTCACTTGGGAAAGATGTTGGAATTCCCCCTGCTCCAACACAGAGACCTCTTACATCACTGCCTGTAACAGGGACCTCCCTGTATTGATCAGAGCCTCTACTGCTTCAAGCTGTCTCTCAGATACAAAAATTTCTTATAAGAATGCTTTAAGCCTTAAAAATGCAGTTCTTCTTTTGTATTTGGAAATAACTTGAAGCGCACCTAAACATTGCAAATCTATATTGAGTAGAATCACCAGTATATACAGTTATACCATTCTATTTATTCTGGACATCTTCCTGCTTGCTTGAAGCAAGCTTCTTGGTTCACATCTGTGGGCCCAGCACAAGGAACTGAATACATAGAAACAACATTTTTATGGATAAAATAAAGCAAATTTTTAT